ATATATGGGCTGTCTTTCCCGTAATCGCAGCATAGGTAAGAACACTGAAGCAGACTGCATGCTATAGCACATGCTGGCTTACATTACCAGGTCTGCTGGCACTCCCTGAAGATGAACCGCTGCATGATCATGTGTTACATCAATTTGAAAACATGTTTGACATATGTCTTTAAATTAAAGTGACAAATCTGCACAAACAAAAGTTTTTAGAGTGTCGGGCAGATTTACTGCCACTCAGAAGATTTCTGGAAAACTGATAGTTGCTCTGCAGACATGCTCCTTTATTGTCGACAGAGGTGGATTGCATTCCACACCTCGTCTCACTTTACAATCGTGCATTTCTCACGTCACTGCAGCCAACTGGTTTCTCCCTCATTTTCTTGTGTTGGGTTGCTATCGTGTTACTCAGTATTTTGTTTAAGGCCGGTGGACAAATGTCCTACTAAAACAATTTGCCATGGCTGGAGAAATGTATCCGTAATAATTCTGATATAATAATTCAAATAATTTATTCAACAAAAATGGCACTCAGTAACTGATGAGAGAGAAACTCCAGCATTTGATTGGAATTTTAATTCTTAGGTGTGTTTTTTTTAATTTAAACTATTGAACAGTTGATTGTAAATGTATACAAGATTAATCAGTAATAACTAATTAACTCGTTACAGTGTTATGCAGATTTCAGTGTCTGTAGAATCAGTGACTTGATGACTGATTTGGTTTCATCACAATGTTTTGGTGTCCCTTCGATTCCCTTGGGCTGCTGTCTGAGCAGAGCTAATTACTCTCTGCTCAGCTCATTCAAATGACAAACTGCAGAAATTTTAGACTTTTTTTGAAATAGAAGTAATCCCACCACTTTCAAGAGCTACTTCAGTTTATTAGCACTGTTTATCCTCTCTGGTGATTTGCTGGAGAAGACACTTGATTTATTGAGAGTTCCAGAAATCCAGAGAGGACACAGGCACAGTTTTTCCTCTTCATTTATTTCTGGTGAGAGTGGTGGGTGTAGGGAGTATTACAAATGACTCTTCCAAAGCGATAAAGTGTGAACAGTGTCGGAAACCAAGCGGTGAGTATCAATAAGCTGCCTGTCACCGTTTGTTACAGATTGGAGTCTGAACAAAAGCGTCCCGTCCAATTTGTCATGTGATGGCAAATCTCAGCAGCTAAAATCAGTCTGTACCTCCGACGAGGGGAAGCTGAAACATCTTCTTTCTTGTTTTGTTTTTTTTTTTTTAATATATTGCCTGGGGAGGATCATCAGGACCTGGCGACCTGATGTTCCTCTCCCATGCCCCGAGATTTAACCTGTGATGCGGATCCTACGACTTAGTTTCATGTCTGGGCCTCTAATCAGCCATGTGGTATTTGGACCTCCCAGCCAGGCCCCGGCCATGTCACACAGCATTATCATGGCACACTGAGGCCCCGTCTGAAGCGCCTTCTTGTCAGTGTCAGTAGGCTAATTTCAAACAATTACACAGGAGCTCTCCCTCCCTGTTGTCGTGTTCTCTCAGCGTCCTCCTTATTAACTTTGTTAGGCACGCTCAACTTATCTGCTGGACCCAGACACCCACATACTGATATCACTGTGTGTGCTTGGCAGAGCTGGGAGCTTCTTTTTTCTTCTAGTGCTACTGTGATACTTGAGTTTCATTAGTCTTACTGACTTTGTTTTAACACATTTAACGTATTTAGCAGAATCCCTTATAGGTTAAATTAATTAGAATTTTTATAAGTGAATGAATTAACTCATTGCCATCAATGATATAATATAAAATATGATAACATATCTAACATTGTGTTGTTAACCCGCACAAGCAGAAAAGGGGCTTGAAACAATGTCAAGAATGTTTTTTTAAAAATGTAATTTATCAGATGAAAACATCAAGTTTGCTTCTTTAAATTACATTTTTTAATAGGGGGGGAAATAAATTGTCTTTATTTTAACAGCTGTGTACCTAAATGCTGTTTCCTATATTTATTTTTCTTACGTAGCAGAAATGTACTATCTTAGATGGAGATTTATTTGAAGTGCACACTGATGGCTCTAAATTATTATACATTGTAAGTGGCTTGTTCTTGTAAAAATAGGCTTTCATATATTTAGTTTGGCCCTGATTTCTGTCTGCAGGTGTTCCTCTCAGCTGTGATGCTGAGATCATCCTGCATTTAATTCAGCAGGTGAAAAGTGTTTCTTTTGACTTTGAGGTGAAAGCATCAGGGTTGACTTCTCTTAACATTTAGGAAACTTAAGCTTATGGATGTGATCAGTAGTTGCAGTTCTAAACACGTCACAAGTCCTTCTTTTGTTAGAATCACTGTGAGAGCATTCATGTGGGGCGATCGTGGCTTAACAGTTGGCAGTTCGTCTTTTAATCGGAAGCCCCGGCTCGGACAGTCTCGGTCGTTGTGTCCTTGGGCAAGACACTTCACCCATTGCCTACTGGTGGTGGTCAGAGGGCCCGGTGGCGCCAGTGTCCGGCAGCCTCGCCTCTGTCAGTGCGCCCCAGGACAGCTGTGGCTACAATGTAGCTTACCATCACCAGTTTGTGAATGTGTGTGAATGACTGAATGTAGTGTACAGCGCTTTGGGGTCCTTAGGGACTAAGTAAAGCGCTATACAAATATAGGCCATTTGCCATTTACCATTTACCATGTGTGTTACAAGTCCTTGGCAGGGGTTAGATGCAACACACACCCTTTCCCCACCTGAGCCTTTGATCCTGCTCGGATCTTTTATCAGATACATGCAGAAGGAGATAAGAGCTCCTTATCAGGGCACTGCTGGTAAATGTTAGCTGTTTATCCATCTTGGAGATGACGTATTTTTTTCATGCTTTGAATAAAAGCCTATAGCAGACAGCAACAGACATGGGTGTAACAGGTAGCAGTGGCAGCCAAACATTTAAAGGGTTTTTAGATTTGTTACTGTAACTGTGGCATCAGTGAGGTTCTATTAGGAATGGAGAGAAGCATATCTGCAACTTTTTTTTAATGCTGGTCTTTTGACTCTGTCTGGATTAATTGCTATCCTAACATCTGCAGTTTCTGGGGAAAATACATAGAAATTTTGGTGCATGTGAATTGATCATGTATCCTATATATCGTACCATATATACAGTAGGCGGCTGACTGATCCACTCTCAACAATCGGGAAAAATAACAATTCTCAATTATAAATGATGTTACTGAATGCATTTGTGGCAGATGTGTAAATGTCAATCATTTTAGGGGGTACAAAATAAAAAATAAAAAATAAAGCTGATGCAGAAGTGTCAAAAATGCAGTCTGAGGATTCCCCACAGACTATGATATGAAAATTCCAAGATTTAAAGAGTAAACATATTTACAGCTCAGTGCAAAAAAAGGAAATTTAGAGAATAAAGGGCATTTCCAGTATTACTCATCTTTGACAGGTGGTTACTTGTTTGTGCTGAGCATCTGATTATATTAGAGGAAACTAAGTACAATTTCATTTTCTCCAATTAGTAAATTTTATGTTACAGTAAGCCTGTTTTTTCCACTAGCCAATATTGGCGTCTTATTTGTTATTACAGTGAATTACAGCTGTGCCTTGCTAAACTAGCTAGTTTACCAGCACTAGTGTTAACTGACAAATGAGACACTCCCACAAATAGCTGAAATCAACAAGGTTTTTGGCTCCTGTTTACCGGTATTTGGGTAAAAACTGAGTAATTAAATTTTTTTTCTTTGCATAATAAAAAAACAATTCTCTCTGTGAAGGTAGCCGTGAGGTGGCCTTTGTCTACGCTATCTCCTCAGCTGGAGTTGTTTACACACTGGCCCAAGCCTGCAGCCAAGGTGAGTTGGATTCCTGCTCCTGTGATCCCACCAAGAAGGGCTCATCACAGGATGCCAAAGGCTCCTTCAACTGGGGAGGCTGTAGTGACCATGTGGAGCATGCCATACGCTTCAGCCAAGCCTTCGTGGATGCCAAGGAGAGGAAGGAGAGGGATGCCCGTGCACTCATGAACCTGCACAACAACAGAGCTGGCAGGAAGGTGAGGAAGCACTGAATAGATAACTGACTTCAAAGTCCTTCAGTTTGGCCTGAGACACTAAAATTACATAACTTTTACATTTTCATCCAACATTTTAAGAATCTCAGAAATAGAAACACATTGATAAAACGCTGAAAATGAATTTGACTGTTTTTAGATCTACATAACATCATTACATTTGTATCTTGGGCTTTAAAATCTTAAATTAGTACCATTCACTCACCAGTTCTACTAAATCTGTTTACTGTTGTGCTCCCCAGGCTGTGAAGCGCTTCATGACACTGGAGTGTAAATGTCATGGTGTCAGTGGGTCATGTAGCATCAGGACCTGCTGGTTGGCCATGGCTGACTTCCGCCGCACAGGTGACCATCTACGGAAAAGGTACAACGGTGCCGTGCAGGTTGCAGTGAATCAGTATGGCACAGGCTTTACCGCCGCTCATACACACTTCAAACGTCCCAGCAAAAATGACCTCGTCTACTTGGAGGACTCACCAGACTACTGCATACGGGACCACGAGTCAGGTAAACACTGACCTTTACCATTTGGATCAGTTGGATCCCAGTAAGCAGTGAGTGGAAAACGTACCTGTCAAAGACACATAAACACCCAGTTCAGACCATTTAGAGGTTTGTTTAATCACTTCCAAATTACATGCTGAAAAATGTTGATTTGTAATCTGGTCAAACAAGCCTAAATGCTCTAATTTACTCAATTTAATTAACCAGATCAAAACCAGAGTAAATACTCTGGAACTTAAGTGCATCACTTGAACAGCACAGCTGGTTGGTATCCTTAAAAAAGGAGGTGGTGTGAACAGATTTTCATATGCTTGATTTCAAGTAGCTGATTGAACTGCATCTCTAAAACACTTCCACTTTGCTGGCATCTCAAACTTGTCCATCTTCTACTTTTACTGTCACCACTGTGTACCAGAACGTGTTAAAGTGGGGTTTTTTTGTTTTGTTTTGTTTTTTTTCCCCATGACTTTTCTGGGACCAAAGCACACACACCTAACAAACCCACCTCCACCCGCACCTGTAGTCCCAGTGGACCGCTGTTCACACCGTCATACTGATATTTGATGGTGCATTCGATCCAGTTGGAAGTTAGAAATTTGAAAGCTGGCAATTCCAGCTTTCAGAAAGAGTGAAAAATGCGTTACTCACACTGCCAAGTCTAAACAATCCACACTGGTGAGTGTGAAAAAGCACTCTTCTTTTGACAGGCAACTTCTTGCCATGTCAGCAGTACCATACATGTACTGACAAAAACACACTTTGAGTCTTTCATACACAATATACAGCCGAGGACTGTTTCATAGACCCGCTGTCTGTGTCAAGCAGTCACTGTGATGTCAACCATTGGTTTCGAAGTCTGCTTCAGTATTAGGTTTTTGGCTACTGCCATGTTAAACGCTAACTCTAATTAGTACACTGAGTAACAGACTAGCAGTTTTCTATAATTGTAGTGTAACTCGCTACAACTGAAAACAAATTTCTTGGGTGGGCTGCACCGCACAGCAGACCTTATTATTTGTCAGATAATTCCATTACAAATACTCCAGAATGAGCCTCTTCACCGTGTTAGTGCTCCAAAGGCACAAACGGGCTGTAAACATGTTTATTTCTGTTGGTCATTTTAACACGGCGAGTCTATGAGCACTGATTACATTTGGAGCCAGATTCAGAGGATCTTCTGTTTTTTGCAGCTTAGGAATATTTTTCAGCCACCGAGGCTGTTAGTGAATGTTTCAAAGTGCAAAAATGTTATTTTGCTGTCCTGTTTCTCAAAACTTCAAGGAAGCAAAAAATGTTTTTTCCTTTGCTGTTCAGATTTGAAGAAGCATCCACACTGAAAACTGATCTTTAACTTTAGATGACATAAGATGTAATTGTTTTTCAGCAACTACGGTGGCTCTGGATGTCTGTGTCATAAGCGTGTTCGTGTGAGGGCAATCTGTGTTCATGTATATGTAAAGCTACAATAGCAGAGCAAGCGTGAGAAAGAAAATGTTTGCGTTTGAAAAGCTTATGAGAGAATGAAGATAAAGGCCATGAGAGAGTGTCTTGAGGTGGAGGTGAATGCCTGACAGGCGGCAGATGATCCGTGGCGATCGGGTGTCAGCCAGTTTAAGACCCATTACACACTTCTGTAGGCTGAAATCTTAGAGGACTACACATCATTATAAATCACCAGTGCTGGAGAAACACACACACACACACACACACACACACCTGAGGGCATGATTGGCCTGCAAAACGGGAGAGATTTCAGTGGCAGAAACACCAAACACACACATTTCAGAGGTGTGTGTACCGAAATACTCCACCCAGACATAATTTCTTTCTTTTTTACAATTTAAACATTCATTGAGAAATTTAGAAGTGAAAGACTTCCTGGGAGGTAGAAGCAGTGAATATTCTCATGAGCAAAAACATAATTTTTTAATCTCACTAAATCGTGAAAGTTTTTTTTCCTGTTATTTTTGTTGTGTTATTTGTTTGTTTTTTTGCTTTCTGTTAGTGACTGATGTTAGCTGTAACTTTCACCACCATGTGGCACTGTTTTTGAATGAGTGCTGTTGTTTTATCCTGTGACGCCTCTTATTACGACTCCATCAATACGAGAGTGTTTTTATTAACTTGGCTGGCTGAATCTCTCCACTGTTGGTGGACAAATTGGTGTTACACAAATGTCCAGCCGTGCTGTATTTATTATTGTAAAACAGCTCAGTACATCTGTGTGCTGTATTTCAGCCCAGTGCATAGACGTTTGTACATGAAGTCAGGCAGGTTGATTCCTGACACTGTGTTGGTAGTTTTGAAAGTTTTAAGCTATTTAAGTGCCCTTAAAGATTTTCACTCAATTCACATGAAACCACCCAACCCAGAAAAATAAAACAATAGTAATAAAAACAGTTCAAACAGTTTTGTGATGCTTTAGCACAGTGACATACCTATTTCATTATTATTTCTGACTAATGGGATCTGCCATTACAGATTTTTGCGAATTCCAAAGAACTATAATTGACAGCACATACTAAGAAAAATGAACTTTTATCATAAAATATAATTTCCACGCTCAAAGAAATGATTAAACTGCTGTACATCACATGATCGTCTCTCTTAAATAACTGAAAATAAAGAATGAGTTTTACCACAGCAAACAAAAGCAGGTGCAGCAGATTTAGAGAATAAAACAAATGCAAGTGGATGGATGTGACAAACATCTTATTTAAATACATATATGCACAAAATGTTATGAATAAATTATTATTGCATTCTGTCAGTACTTTATATGAACCTGTTATCACTAAAAATCATTCAGAAACTGCTGTCGGATCACACAGTTTTTGGCTGGTGGGAATTCAGAGAACATGGCACATGTGCGATTAATTTCTCGTGTGGCTCAAACCAGGGCTGCGTACCATTGCAGGCAACTGACCACCAAAGAAAGCAATTAAATAAAAACTGTCAGTTGACAGTATCCACAGCCGCAGCCTCGTTGCACCTGATGAGTGGAGAAGCCAAACCTTCCTTCTGACAGAAACTTTCAGAAGAGCTTTGAATGTGAACCAGTGGCAGCAGGTTTATTCACTGCATACAACACAATAATAACTGCAGCTCATTAACAGCTGTGCAGTCTATCAAGTTTTAAGTTCAGTTTTGGCTTCACAGCTGTTAATAGTACAAGGTAACTGAGTTTTGTATCTCAGTGATGCTTTTGGTTTGGCTTTCAGCTCCTGATTTACGTCTGCCTCTCTCTAAGAGATCAAACTCACCCCCGGCTGGGCTATGGTAGTTTTTGTTCACAAGAAGTAAAACTATGAAGTTGTTCTTCAGAAGATTAGATTTCCTTTTGATGCTTATATGAAACACACAAAACCCTTAGATGGTCTGTAGAACTGTAGATCCTCTGACTGCTTGTGCACAGGATCTTCTAGGAATGGTGATTCTGTTTTCCAGAGAATTGATGGGTCAGTGGTTTTGAACATGTTGATATCTTCTCTCAAATATAAGATACTCTTATTAGATCTGTAGTAAAAGTTACAGTGGCAGGGTACTCAAATAAGGCATGAACCACTTTCCTGACATTGAAAACTCAGGTTTAAATCTGAAGTTACTGCACTAAGCACCTAATCCTGCTTTGTCTAAAGGCCCCTGGAGGTCTTAGGCCCTGCTTTTGGGAACAAGTTGAGGCATTACAGCAGACATGGAAGTTTTATGGGATGTGTACATGTAAGCAGGGTGAGGTTACACACACACGCACACACACACACACACAGTGGGCCTCTCATGAGAACGTAACATACGCCTTCTTTAAAGACCAACTCCCATGAGACAACCACAGACTTACAAACTCGCTCTCAATCATAACATGTACTGTATGTAGAGTCACCTGCTCCCTCTTTTTGGTTGCACAACCATGAAAAGTAATCAGCCTTTCTCCCAACACACACAGACACACACACACACGTGCACGCGCTCTGAAAGACATGCAAACTCGCCTTCAATCATGGAAAGAAACAGACTAAATCTGTTCTCACACACAAACCACAAACAGGCTCGGGGCCCACAGAGATAGCGAGACGGCCCCTCTGTGCCTCTTTAAAGTGTGAAATCAATTTCCCTCAGCCCTGAGGCTCAGGTGCTAAACTCATCTCTCGGCGCCCCCTCATCTTAATTCAATAAGCAGACGCAGGGCGATCGAGGGCTGTGAGGAAGACTCTGGCCGTGATGTCACCCCTAGCAGCGCTGCATACTTTGGATGACGGGCGGGCACGCTGCCAGAGAGGGGAGGGCTTCGGGTCATGTCCAGACATATTACCTGGCGAGGGAATGGTGCAGAAGGAGCGTACACGCAGAGCGAAGCAGAATGTAAACACGAGCAAATTCCAGAACAATGTTTGAGATGGTACTTGAAGCCAATTTTTTCTAAACCTTAATTTATACAGGAGAAGTCAGCAGAACACACACATGCATTCTTTTTCAGTAACACTTGTGCTTTACAGTCAGACAGTAACAGTCACACCTGCCCAGCAGAGCAGCAGTCCTCTGCTGGCTGAACATCTGCAGCTCAACAGCACTAAAGTTCAGATGTTTCACAGCAGCTTTATCAAGATGTTGAAGTGAAAAGGCTGCGAGATTAAAAGCTACAAAAGACTGCAGCGTTATCGGTTACACAAGAACTACTTTGATCATAAAAAGCTTTTTCTCAGGCTTCACATCAACAAAATCTAAATTGTGGAAACGATCTTTTTTTTTTTTTAAACCACCAGTAAATGGACCAAACATAAACAATTTCAAAAACAAAAAAGTAAAGTAAATAAAGACTTAAATGCAAGCTGTTTGAACTAGCAAATATATGAGCACCATGTTCTTCAAGGACTTAGTCATCAGTTTGTTGTCACTCTGGCAGACGAGGGTCCTCAGGACGATGTTACTGCCGTGCAAAGGTGCACATCCCCTAATGGCTGTGACCTCTTTCAGCACATATCTTATTGTTATAACAGTCTTTTCCACTGTAATATGATCCATCAGGTCAGTCCAAGATATCTAATATCCCCAGGTTCAGCTCCTGCCAGGACATTGCTCATTCCATATAAAATCAGTCAAATCTGAAAAGATTCATTCATGACTCTCTCAGAATATGCTCTTCATTCTGCTAATAATTAGAATAATTGACACATTTGAAGAAGTCACACAATATTTTAGCCTCTGTCCTGTAGACCTCTGTCAACCTGCATAGGGCTGGGTTGAAATTTGGTACTTTTTCCACTTGATTTTTTCCAGCTTTTTAGATTTTTTTTTAATATTCTCAAGTAGTGTGTCTTTTGTGCTGTCTCCATCCCTTTTAGTTTATTCCAAGGGGGGGGGGGGCAGGCAGTGATTTTCCATGGAACGACCTACCAACTAAGAGGCATCTGGGAGGCATCATGGTCAGATGGCTAAACAACCTCATCGGGCTCCTTTCGATGCTTCGACGAGGAGCAGCAGCTTGACTCAGTCTCTCCTGAATGACAGTCGTTCAACTCATAAAATGAAGAAAAGATGTGAACGAGAATTCAGAAGGAAAGGCTGATTGCACTTTCACTAATGTGTGTAATTATGCAACAAGATATTGAACAGAATTATAGAGAAGAGTTGTAAACTGCACATATCTGACAGATATATGGATGCAGCTTCTTCTTGGTAAAATTTGGGGGGAAGAAAGGCAAAAAATAATATTGTTACACAGAAACATAAATATCTCAGTCAAGAAGAGAGATGAAGTCTTTCTCTCAATACAATACTCAATACTCCCGAACTCCGCAAATCCTAAATGATGTCATTTGGATATTTTGAATAGCATTACCAGCTCTGTGATGACTCGTTAAAAAGTCGATATTTTATAAAAGCCAGGCCGTGAGAACCTTGTTACAATTTAGCGCTCTGAAGGCTTCCTGGACGTCTGCTGAGCATGAAATCAAAAACCGTGAAAGAGTATGACTTCAGCGCAGATTGTGTCACAAAAGCGTCCATTCCCATGTGTTTTATTTTGGCTGAAATCATAGGGATGATCCTTTCCCACACCCGGCGCATCTGTGTTTGTTGTGCTGCTATCAAAGAGAAGTTATCTGGAGATCTAGACACAATAACCCAAACGCTCTGCTCACAGTGGTTAGATAGAAACGTGTGAGATTCTGTTGGGTTTGATCATCCAAAGCAGACTGAAAACACTCCTGTTGCTCATGTTTAACATCAGTGGATCAAAGCTGCTGATACTGCTAAAAAAAAAAGTCCCTCTAAAAACTCCTGTGGATGGTTTTCAGTCGAATCTGCAGGCCTACACAGCTCCATCATAAATTGAGCTCCAGCTATTCCTTCTGCATACAAAGCTCAGGTACGTTAACTGTGTTTGTGGCGATATAAAGTGTGTGTGTGGGTAAGTGGAGTTGGGATTCAGGAGAAAGTGAGTGTGTACAGTATCTGTGTGTGTGTGTGTGGGCGATGGATGTCTCCTGTAAAATGAACAGCTGATGAAGTGTGGGAGTGCAGGCTGATGGCTCCTATCATCAATCTCTCATCTCACTTTCGTTCATCTTACTTATCCCCCCCCCCCAAATCTCATCTTCACCGTACTGGCATTATACTCTGCTCCTATTGGCTTCTAAAAGCGAATAGAACTGTTCTAATTGGCCAAATTGAGGCTCAACTGCTGCCAAGTCACATTCCACGATGCTATAGTCCATTTTTTAAGCATCAGTACCATTACCTTCATGAACACTTTTCCTTTATTCCTTTAGGACGTCCCAGTTATTTCCCAGCAGGGTTGTCACTTCTTAAACTAGAAATCACAGGCAGTGTAGGTGTGAAACTGTTCCATCAGTAAATCTCCTTTTGGAAGGAAACTACTGAAACATGTTTTTGCTTTTAGTGAGTATAAATGTCATTCAGTGGAAAACTGCAGTAGGAAGTGATCAGAAAGGCAGATCCTTCTACTGTAGTATGATAGATTATGATACTGGTGGGAAAAACACTTTTCAAGGTAAATACTGACTTTCCCTCATTTTTTTAAGAACCTTTAATTATGAAGTAGACTTAAACTTGGCATTTTACACTATGTAGCGATAAAGCAGAATAAAGTTTACATCCAATGATTATAATTTTGATTATGTCCATGTTTTTAGTTTCAGCGATCGGGAGCAGCTCCTTGTCTTTCTCTTGACTTATAAGATCACATTTTGTGGTCAACTTGAAAGAAAGGCTGATGTGTAATATAAAAGTGAGGTCAGAGGTCAAATGTGACATTTTAAATCTTTATGCCATTCTTTCTATACGTTGACAATACACAGCACACACAGCGCAAACTAAGAATCATAGTTTCTACAACTTTTTGTCAATTTTCTACCAATAAATCATTGAGTTCACCTTGAAGACCTTGGTGGAAGTATTGTTGTCAGAATTAATTTAAAACTTTTTTAGCTATCGTGTTTACAGACACGCAAACACTATGCATGCTGTCAGAACATCCTGTCTGTCGAGGCATGGACTCCGCTCTTGCCGGGGCCTCGATGTATCAGACTTGGGTGTCCGGATGAGACAGATGAGATCTGAGAAATTTGGAGGCTATGTCAACACCTCATACTCATTGTTGTGCTCCCCCAAACCATTCCTGAAACACTGTTAAATGACCAAGGATGCATTATCCTGCTGAAAGAAGTCACAGCCATTAGGGGGGGAATACCATCATCTGCAACCATGCTTAGGCAGGTGGTATAAGACCCACATGGATGGGAGGACCCAAGGTTTTCCAGCAGAACATAGCCCAGAGTGTCACACTGCCGCCACAAGCTTGCCTTCTTCCCATAGTGCATCCTGGTGGCAAGTGTTTCCCAGGTAAGTGACGCATATGGACCCGGCCATTCACATGATGCAAGAGAAAAACCTGAATCGTCAGACCGGCAGCCCATCACCCTTTCTCTAGTTTGCCAAAGTTCCTTCCTTGGACCAGTTTTGGTAGATACTGACCACTGCAGACCAGGAACACCCCACCAGTCGCAGTTTTGGAGATGTTGTGACCCAGTCGTCTACCCATCACAATTTGACCCCACCTACCTCTAACACATTAGCTTGGAAGACAAAGTGTTTGCACTCTCTACTAAACTAGTGTTCGGTGTTTATGTTCCTTTGATACATTGTCTAGGTTTTGATTTTCCTCTGTTAATAACTTGTGTTCTCATCATTAGGGTGGGTCCCACAGATCAAAAACTCATTTTAAATTAATAGTCATACTGTGCAAAATTTATTCTCACTGACCGCGTCTCATTTGCTCTCTCTCCAGGGTCGATGGGGACAGGTGGGCGGGTCTGCAACCGGACATCCCGAGGTGTAGATGGCTGTGAAGTGATGTGCTGTGGCCGTGGCTACGACACGTCTCGCGTCAGCCGCACAACCAAGTGCGAGTGCAAGTTCCAGTGGTGCTGTGCAGTCCACTGCCGTGACTGCCACCAGCAGGTTGACGTGCACACCTGTAAGGGCCAGACGTGACCTCGCCACCACTAAACGTGACTGACGCCTCATATCGGGCATCCAGAGTCCCCCCGTTCCTCCTCAGCTCTATCTGACGTCTTGTTACGACAATCTAACTGATAATCTCGAGTCTGTCTTTAGTTCTGAGCCCTCTGAAGGTCTGTTAGGTTTTCAGACACCTTTTTTCTTTTCCTCCTCACCAAAAAAATTCACGTCTTTTTCTTCTTTTGGATGCTACGTGGAATGAACTTCCAGACTCAGAGACATTTAAAGCCTGACTGCTGAATGTCTGTAGCTGTTACTTTGAGAATGTATCAGTCAAATCATGCTTCAGATTCCTGCTGAACCAACACAAAAAATACTATTGAGACTAACAGGCTAGCATTTGATCTGCTGGCTCCAGTTGTGACGGTTTGGAGATGAACTGTTGCTTAAACAGGCCCCAAGGACTGACCAAGTATATACTGAAATATAACTTAAATTATGTGTAATATCTTTTATAGTTTTGTTGAATCAACATGCATGAAGGCTTTTGGCCTGCTCCTGTGAAGCCTTCAACACCTCTAGTTTAACACATAGCAGCTCTCCACACAGTTTATCAGCTTGTTGTTTAGATTTGTTCTCGTGGCACCTTACACTTGTCAGCAAACCATTTACAACATAAAGTACGACCAGCGTTCTTTTCCCCTGCGTGCTTTCAGTGTAAGCTGTTGTCACGCCAGTCTCATTCAACATAGCGTATCACAAGCTTCTCTCTCGCTTACTGTCTGCTCATTAGAGGCTTTCTGCTCCAGAGGTACCACCATATGCACAGAACATGGTCCTTCAGCTGTTTTCTCTCTCCATCATTAAATCTCCTTACTTAGTAGAAAACAGCAGCTGGAAAATGAGTGGACACTGTCGTTTGACTCAGAAACAGTGCAAAATTAATGCGGGCAGGACCTACAGCAATTTCACTAACACAAACTTACATACTTACGGTACTCCCAACATCAAAATCCCCAGTTGGCACTAATGTAGGACATTAGTGCCAACTAACATTTCATATTAGCATCTTCTCCAAGTCTTTTAAAAAGGCTAGAATTAAACCATAATGTTGATAACAGACATAGCATCTTACTGTATTTACGAGGAAAGTTTTACATTTATGACCTTATATTTTTAAGTATCTACAGGGATTCTGTTTGAATGATCATTTTCTTTTGGGTGCTCCCTTTAGAAGTCCTAACAGAAGATCAGCATCATCTCACCCTAACTCTAGCATTCTCTTCTGCAACACCAACCTTCTCCATATCCTCCTTCACTGCATCCATGAATCTTCTCTGTGCTCCATATTCAGCATTCTTCATCAAGTATATCCACCATCTCACCTCTGCCCATGTCCAAACCATCTCAACCCTGCCTCTCTAACTTTGTCTCCAAAATGCTCAACCCGCTGATATAATAGTTTAAATCCTGGTCATCCTGGTCATTCACAATGGAAAATATTTCAACTCAACCTCTTTCAGTTTTACCTCCTTTCTTGTTAGTCCCATCATCTCCAAACTGCATCGTAGCAGGTCTCACTACCTTCTTGTAAGCCTGGGTGATTTGTATCCCCGTGTTACAAATCACCCAACACTTATCTCCACCCTGCCTGCACTCTCTTCTTTTGCACTCTCTATTGCTTTGCAGGCTATTTAAAGCAGCTTCACTGCTCTACCCATTCCCTTCTCTTCCACACACTTGGATTCTGTCTTGGTTCTACTGACTTTCATCCCTCTTCTCTCCAGCGCATACCTCCACCTGTTCCCTACTTTCACTACAGATCAGTGCCATCTGTCAACCTCTCCATCATCACTGCAAACAAGAAAGGGTTCAGTCAATCCCTGACCTTGAACCTATCTGGCACTCTTACAGTCCTCCTATGTCCTTCAGCAGCTTCACATAATCCTCTGACTCTCCTCGTGCAGTACCACAGTGCCTCTCTTGGGCCCTTATATCCTTCTCTAGGTCCACAAAGACGCAGTGCTACTCCCTTTGACCTCCTCTATACTTCTGTCAACACTCTCAAAGCAAACATATTTGTAGTGTGCTCTCTCAGCAGAATGCTGCTCACTCATCATTACCCCTCTTCATAACTTAGCTTTAACAACTCTTTCCCATTGCTTTGAGATATAATTCATCGGCTTTATCCCTCTGTGTTACAGCTCTGCACATCAGCCTTGTTCTGGAAAATCACTATAAGTAACTGATCATTAAGATAGTCTAAGGGGTATTGTAGTCAACATCTTGTTAAAATGAATGCTTGAAAAACCAATTAAAATATCTAGAACTAGAAAAAACAATCAGAAATGCTTTTTCTTGTAGTTAAAATGCTCATTTTGTCATTGTTTCTTAGAAATGTGTTAATAACTAGGACCTCTGTTTACATTTCACTGTTATTGTGCCTGCTACCAATATTAGATTAAGGAGCAATATTCAAGTAGGACTCTGTGAAATCAAACATCATCACTGACAAACAGGACAGACGGCGGCCTGAGCAGTCATTATACACTGAGGAAGTAAAGCAAACTAGCGGCTGTTCTCACCAGTTGCTTCATTAGATGTAATACATGTCCTGTCTGTAAACTGCACATCAGCTGTGTAAGATTACAATATAAGCCTTACAAGTGAACTCTACAGAATAAATGGTTTAAACTCACACTGTGTCCAGATTTAAAGAGTCTCATGAACAAAAACACATGAATAGTTTCTGATTTCTCTGACTAGTGTTCTGTTAACTGGACAAACTTCTCAAGCAGCTTGTTTAGCTAGATTAATGCACCCTGGTGATGAGGTCTGTGTCACAGTTCATCATTAAGATGCATTGCTTTGGCACCTTGTGGAAGCTGGTACACATCCAGACATGCTTGAGCATTGCTTAGGTTGTTTCTGTGGGAAGGAAATCACAGTGGAGACAATCTGCATAATTAATGACGTCACCAACCCTAAGGGACCAGCAAGTCCTTGAATGGTGCAAATATGCAGAACCAGTTCAGGACTGGGCACTGGGTTAGTGGGAAAGGACCTGAGTTGTTGACTTGCATTCAGAGCTATATCTGGGATGTGTAAGTCAGACAGCACATGCAAGCTTGGTTAGCAAGTAGTTACTATTAAACATATCACTCACAATACCTGCAACACAAACTTTTTACACCACACTGAAAGCCACAACAACTGTCTGATAATTCCATCAAAACGCTCCAACCGTCACCAACAGTGAGTGGACTGCAAATGGAAGCAGGCTTGCACAACAGCTTAAGCTTTGCTGTTCAAATGTATTCCACAACTTTTAGAAACTATAGAGAAATAAAACTGTTCGTTGTACCAGGCTGTGAATGTGTCTTCTAACACTGTTTAGTTGAGCATTTTACCATCAAACTCGATGACGACGAACTTGCAATAGGCGACAGCCTGAAGTGGAGCTTCAGCAGTTGCAGGAACAACTTTTCCACTGTGGAGTGAGCTTTTAGTTTGAGAATGAAAGCTCCAAATATGTGATGGATCCTGCAGAGAAACAAAACCCAGCCGGTTGTATCTGGTGGTGCTGATATCAAGGTCAGCTGATTTCACAGTATGTGGGGCAGCCAGTAAAAACACTGCATTTTTGCAGCAATACACAAAAAGTCCTTTATTGTATTTTTTTTCCTTTTCACCTTTTTAATGATGGCAATTGATCACCTCTTTTTGTACAACAAAAGAACAGCTTTAAATGACTGATAACCCAAAGAAATGCAAACATATCAAATAAAGTCAAAACCAATTCTGGGTGTTGTTTAGCATTTTTGTTTTGCGCCTCTCCTCGGATTCCCATCTGCTCTCGGTTTGGTTTGAACTTGGCACAGAGGCGCGTCAGTCTAGTCCGCTGCAGTGTTCTGGATTTCAGTTCAGCTGTTTCTGTCCAGATAGAGGTCTGCTCTTGGTGCTGGTCCTGGGTCTGATTCCTGGTCCGGTCGGCCCTTCTGTCGGTCGGGGTCAGATGCGGGTGAGCTGATGCCAGAGGCTGGATGGCAGGATGCTTTCCACCTTCTCCATGATAAAGTTCAGAGGAGCAAACAGCGTGCTGAGGAACTACAAAGAGAGACAAATACAATCACACAAACAGAAGGTTAACAGGGCAGCCAGCATCTTTTCCCTGAAACACACCACGCTACAGCCACGCTGCATTCTGGCTGCAATGTGGCCACAGGAACCGACCGCATCCAATTCTACCAGATGGAACAAAACGGTATCGGAGACACGCAGCAGTGTATCGAGCCACCACTTTAAGCACTTTTTTTGTCATCTAATAAAAGCAATTTTACATAGGTGCTGCATCCCTCACAGAGCTGTGGTGTGTAGATGGAGTCAGGTTCATACTATCTGATAACATGTCTCCCTGACTGCTGTTTTTGTAAATGGACAACTGATAGCAAGACTCCCTAATTTAATTTATGTTAATATTTGGTTTGCAGACAATGTGATAATTATCTGGATGGTTAATATAAACTTTGAACTGACCGGCAGGATAGGGTGGTGGCTGTGTATATCACCTGTACATAAAAGATGAACACTGCTTCTCAATGTTGCAGTACTGTCTAACAGTCAGCAGGGGGCACTCCCTTAACTTGTGATATCAACAAACACTTTCCTGATGACTTCCTGGTTTCAATTGGGGGTTTCAGTACAAGCTGAGCAAAACATGGAGGTAATTTTGTAAAATATGGACCACATTTGATAAAGCAGGGAAAGGTCAGCAGCTGTGACAGGTCAAACTTTGACAAATAAGAAAAAGGCTGCATAACCATGTGTCTGAATTATCTGAAGGTTTGGGGGATTTTTCTTTATTTTCAGCTGTGAGAACAAATAAACTTTCCACTTCCACAGCATGAATCCTCCATCTGTGTACAGTGCAACTCAGGCCTCATTCTCAAGCTGGCAGTCTGACAACAACTAGTAAAGAGGAGGCGAGGGGTGATAGGGGCTCCACCTGAGCAGCTCACAGAAGTTCCTTCTGTCTTAGATGTCAGATAAAGGTCACGAAGACGTTTTTTTTTTTTTT